TGAAGGCTTCCTGGAGCATATTTTCAAACATGCAGCCAAAGAGCTGTTTGGCCTAGACGTCCAAGAGATTGTGTACAAGACACTCAGGTTAGAGATAGACAGTCCGTTTTTGATATGTGGTGGATAATCTATATTTTATAATTATTTATAAATTAAGCCAATCGCCAATTGATAATCCTTACATTGCCATCTGTGTAAACACCTGCCTTATTCCTGATAGGAATCGAGACTTCCAGGAGGTGGCGCTGGAGCGTGATGGAGAGACTCTCCTGCAGTTTGCTGCAGTCTATGGCTTCCGGAACATTCAGACTTTAGTGCACAGAATGAGGAAAGGCAAAGTGCCCTACCAGCTAGTAGAGGTGCTTTCCTGCCCTGGAGGTATGAAATATTTTTCAAAACAAACATATTACAAATATTACATGAATTTTATTTTGCTATTACTTAACTCAATAGGTGCTGTCACTACAAAATAAGCTTGAACACATGATAGTTAGTTAGTTAGTTAGTTTTATTTGTCCTCGAGAGGAAATTTGTTTCCACTGTAGATGTGTACATAACACAGACAACACATAACATGTTAAATTATTGACATATCATACAATCACAGACATCACACACACAAAAAAGAGCATAAGATGACGCATCGTCTTATTACTCGGGATGTTCGGCACAACTAATTTCATTAACGTTCAAACGGATATTTTGTTAACGATTAGTCTAACAACCCCCCAGAGGATAGTCAAAAAAAAGTCTGTATATGAATATCCATTTGAAATAGCCTACTTAATCTATGAATCAGTCAAATCCCATACTGAATGCCTCTGAAAAAGGTCATATACAGTATATACACAATGTGCTTGCCTTGCATTATGATGTGTGTACATAAAACTTCAGGCGGTTCACTTAATCAATGTTAGCCAATATTGACATATTTATTAAAACAGGGGTCCCCAACCCCCGGGCCGCGGACCGGTACCGGTCCGTGGGTCATTTGGTACCGGGCCGCACAGAAAGAATAAATAACTTGCATTATTTCCGTTTTATTTATTCACACATTTACCTGTTCACATATCGTGTCTTTTGCGCGCTCAAGTTTGTTATTTCAAATGTAGACGCGTGATATGCTCACTCATAATGGAAGCGACGCGCCCGTTTTTTCCAAGCGCGTCCGCACCGCATCGAGATAAAAACATCTCAACTTTTCAGAATGCCGCAAGCGCACTGTAGGTCACGTGACAAGAACCAACCAATCATCTTCCACACTGTAAACTGCTGCACTAGTTACTAGTAAAAAATATTTTTACTAAAAATATTAATGCTCACAACTGATTCCTTGTTAAATCCATCATTGTTTATACAGAATTGTTCTATATTCTATATATAAATGTGTATGTGTTTGCTATTTCTGGTGTTTTATGACCACTTCAGTTATAGTCTAACCTCAGACAAATACAGAGCCGTTGGGCAGGAGAGATAAGTTAGTTTCACGGCAGAAGCTCCGTTTACTGATGCTTGGGCCAACTTTTCTTAAAATATAATCAAACTGGTCCTTGTCCACTCTGAAATAGGCTTTGTTTGAACCTCCCATATTGTCCAGGCGGAGCTCCTGAATCAGCTGGTGAAATTCCCCATGGTTTTTGCGTTTTTGTAGTATCGGTTGCACGGTCTTGCACCCAAACACTGCAGTGTTTTTTTTTTACTCTTCTTAGTAAATAAATCTTGTAACAGAGTTACAGCAAGGGTTTTTCGGTGGTGGAAATCCATTGCTGAAATTTCCTTCCTGTAACAGAGAGCGCAGCTGATGGTTGCTTAGCAACGACAGACGCCTCCGGAGTGCAACCTCGCGCCTAGCGTTTTCTACGCGTTTTTAGGAGCACCTTAAAGGCCGGTCCGTGAAAATATTGTCTGACATTAAACCGTGGCGCAAAAAAGGTTGGGGACCGCTGTATTAAAATACATTGTACTTATTGATCCTGTACTGCCTGTTGATTCAAACTAAATAGCCTATTATAAACAGAATTACTCAGACAAAAATTATTCAACATAAATAAGCACGTCAAGGTATTGTTGTCTGGCATCCGCTTGCACATCTGGGTTTGAACACACTTCTTATGCAAAATCGGAAGAAAAGCTTGATTTGTACCGTCAACTATAAATTTTTTAAGGGAATACTGTTTGTTAGAATATTGCTATAAGATCTGTTGTTGTCAAGTAAGTTTCATTCTAAATGTTTCCCCTTTAAATCGCCATTGTCTCTCATAACTTGTAAAAAACAAGCCTTATTGTTATGTCTGACATAGTAGAAAACGTAACATTTTTGTGCAAGTCAAAATACCTTTGTTTCCTTTATCTCTTTGACTTTCAGGCTGTTTAAGTGGGCGAGGACAAGCTGAGGGAGAGGGAGGTCGACCTGACCGACCTTTGGTCCAGCAAATGGAAGAGCATTACAGCAGCTTACCTGTCCGTCTGCCTGAAACAAGCCCAGAGGTTCAGCGCCTCTACCAGGATTGGCTGGATGGCCACGACTCCCCATGTGCACAGCAATGCCTCCACACTCAGTACAAGAACCACACACAGCCACCCTCTCAAATAGTAAATCCTGACATTCAATGGTGATTGGAAGTCATCATTGCGTTCCCACATACCTGGAACCAAGCTCCGCTTTAGATGCACCAATCAAGACCGACTGTTTGATGCTATCTTGGGCTCAGACGAACTGCACTGTTTCTGCAGTAAAAAAAAAAAAAAAGAAAGAAAGTTGAACAAAGGACCAAACAGGCTTCTTGTTCTATGCAGTGAATCGGACTCTGCTTTACTAATGAGTAGATTTGCATTCGTTTACTTGTTTTCTAGAACATTTACTCGCATTGCACCTAAATTATTTCATGCATGGTTGGGAAACCAGCAGTCACAGATGTATAAAAGTGTTATTAAAAGGACAATAGCAATAACACAAGGCAAAAAACAAAAAACAGACTTTTATCAAAACAGATTACTGGACCCTGTTCATATGCACTGAAGAAAAGATTGAAGGAGGTTTGTGTATGGCTATCACTGAGATCCAGCTGTAGAAATGGCAGACTAATACATATTGGTGCTATGAATTAATTAAAGAAAAACAACCAGTTAAAGCTTCATTACTTTGATTGCTATAAAAACGCATGCACTAATTTTAACAAACCTGGCAGTGATTATAAAATTTTGCTTAAATGCGTTAAGAAATTAATTGTTAGATCCAGGCGCGCACATAATCCACATCTGTAGATTTCTGCTAAATTGGGACGTCCATTATTCACAAAGTCCTACATGTCCTGTGATCCTCGCTTATTTGTTCATTAAATGTTGACCCTTTTGATTATGCTTTCAGCTACCAAAAATAGTACTACAGCACAAATGCATCTATTTTATTTGTCCTCAGATTCCATCTGGGCCTGGTTTTAACTAATTGTTGATTTATGTGTTTGTAAATGTCTCCCATTTACAGTACCTGAACATAAATCTTTCTGTATTAAGTGGTACAGAATGTGGTGAGATTACTGGTTTTCCTTTTGGTGCAGGTTTGTAAAGTGGCAGTAGAGGGCAGAATTGACAGATGTGGCCTCTAATCACTTCTAGTTCTCACTGTATGCCCAGTATGTATCCGCTGCTGCAATAACCTGTTTGAGAGGAGTTGAGTTACAACTGTGAGTTCTGTCACAATGTGTTCTATGTTGTGTAAAAAAAAAAAACGAAAATACTTGCCACTTTATGTGGCACACTTCAATCATTGCAATACAGGATGCAGTTTGAATGGTAAGGTGATTTTCTTCTTGATGTAAATGACATGAGGAGTAGTATGATGCTAAAGTAAATTTAATTTGGTAGAGTAGGTAAACATTGAGGATTAATCAAATCCCTTATGGTGTAATCTTGCCTCTTGCACAAACATGCATGTCAAGCAAGGAAGCTTGACCAATTTTGAGCCATTAACCAGTATAGTAAATTTAGACACTTGTGAAGCCAAACACTCCAGCATATTGGTAGAATTGACTTTTATTATTGAGTCTCTTGCTGTTCACACAAGAATTTTAAACTCACATACTAGAGAGATTTTCTTTCAATTTTTAGTGTATTTAAGCTTGATTTTTAAAAGAGTGAATCACATATGTGATTAAACAGTAACAATATTTAGGGTGTGATTCTCATAGCTTGCCTCAACCATGTCGACAGGCAGATAACCTGTGAAAGGGAATCAGCAAGTCTTTATCTTTTTTATTGCATAGTCTATGATGGAAGAAAGCAAAGGGTTGCCAAAGTAGCAAGATATGATTATAGTGTGAGAGGTATTGTTGGAATACATATCAAAGCTAGTATATTCAAAAATCAGATTATAAAAACATTACTTTATCTTAATTACTTTGTTGGACAGTCTACATATAACAGAGGTGTATTAGGGGAAAATATATGGCAAACTGTTACCATTTTATCCTGCATTGAAATGCAGAAGCATGCCATGGAATTCCAACTATTTTCCATGTCCTGTTACATTCCTGAATCCATCACAGAACTATTTTGTTGAAACTTTTTATGTATGTTGTAGAGAAACTGTTTAGGACTTTTCGAACATATCACACAAAAAAAAAGTGTTTATCATACGTGTCCATATTTCACGTAACAACACTGGAACACAGAATTCAGGTGTAATAATAAATATAACATTTTCCAAAGTTAAATTATGCAACAAAATTGAAATTATAAAAAAGCTGCCACTTCGCTTGCCTATCAATACTATATTTAATTTTTTTTAAAAACAAAAAAAATCTACTCTAAAATAAAGGGATCCGTTTTTCATTATTGATTTTGCTTGCATATGGTATTTGCCCATAGTCCCTTTTAAACTAATCTGCAGAACTCGCGCAATGACGTTCTTGTGATTGACAGGTGAAAGTTCCAATCAGCGAGAGTTACAGACAGAGGCGGGCTCGTGAAGCGCTGACTGGCTACACTTCAAAGAAAACTGCGATTTGACTTATAGTGTTGCAACACAGTGAAGACGCGGAGTGGGCGGCGCGGAGAGTTTTTCTCTACACGTATCTGTTTTTCGTGGTTGCCAAACCCTACTTTCAGTTTAGCCGGACTGCTGGTTTTGTGTAAGTCTTATAGTTTCAAAATGTCCAGCGACCTCAGGCCAAAGTTGTGCGTCTTAGAAAAAGGGGATAGCGGCTACGGTTTTCATCTTCACGGCGAAAAGAACAAACCTGGTCAGTTCATCCGGCATGTGGAGCCCGACTCTCCTGCCGTCGCCGCGGGTCTGTTGGCCGGAGACAAACTGGCGTTCGTGAACGGCGAGAATGTGGAGGACGAGAAGCATCAACAGGTGGTGTCTCGCATTCGAGGCATTACGGACAAACTGGAGCTCATCGTGCTGGATCCAGAGACGGCAGAACTGCTGCAGAAGCACAATTTGAAGTGCCAGAGAGAGTATGTGACTGATGGGATACCGATACCGAGCAGTGCTGGCTCGGACCATGAAGATGATGTGAAGAACGGGACACCAAGGGAATCCATCCCCGTCCCGGAGACAAACGGGGACATACGCATGGATAGACTGAGCGTGAGCTCCAAGGTGAGTTAAATGTATAATAAACAAATTTCCATCACGTTAAAATGGTTATTTTGGAAAATGTTACTCGTCTGAGCACGTGCGTCAAGTTTGACAGATGCCCCAGTATCTTTACATTCTTGTTAGTTTGTATTCATAGTAGACAAATATTTATTGGCCTATTTTTCACCACATATTTTGATTAATTAATTATTTCAAGTGGTGTAACTATTAAGTAAAAAAACACTAAAATACTTTTATTGCAATATCCTTGCTTAAATCTACAGTTTCGTCATTTTAGTTACAATTTGTTTGTCTCTAGCTAGAGAGTTACACAACCTTTGAATTAAAAAAATATATATATTTTAAACAATCAAAATGATTGTATTGTACAAAATATTCTACTAATATCATATTCCCAGCAGAGCATAAGAGGACTTGCCATCCAGAGAAAAGCTAGTTTGCTATAAAATGCATTAAACTTTGGATGTGCTTCTGAAATGTTGGAGGACATTTACATCTTTTAAATCAGATATTCAATGTGTTACGTCACAGGTCTCTCTGGTTTTCACATTACCGTACTTTCAGTCTGACCTGTCAGACATGATGACAATCAGACATGTTTTCCAGCTTTTTAAGAAAGATAAATGTCATTAGCTGAATCAACCAAATTCCAACACATCATAGCTGCTAAAGGCCTGATTACTTAACACTCATAGCTATAATCATGCAAAGTAATTGAGCAGTACAATGATGTTACTTTTTATGCTGTATTGTTAATTGCCAGTAAATTATAACTGATATAATAATAATTATAGCAGGAAGGAGTGGACAGTGTGGCCAAAATTCTTCTCGTGGATCAGATATGCATCATATTTAGTCTCATAACTGGGCTCTCTGATAATTTACCTCTGTTGAAATTTTAAGATTACATAATCATGTAGAGTATATAGGTAATTTGCATAGCTCTAAAGTGATACACCATATTTATGTAACAGTACAAGGTCTGCAAGTGATTTGCACCAATTGTGCAATAAGAATATAAAAGGCTTTATCTTCATTCCTCTGATGTTAATCTGAAGTCCTTTCACTGGGCAACATTTTATTCTCTTTCATGGGACGTAAATTTTAACCTGTGTTTAATTTAAAGGGATACCCCACCGAAAAATGACAATTCTGTCATCATTTACTTCCCCCATGTTGTTCCAAACCTGTATGACTTGTTTTGTGGAACATAAAAGAAGATAATTTGAAAAACTTTGGAAAAACAAATAACTTTGGAACCCCTTGACTTCCATTGTATGCACAAAAGAACACAGACATTTCTGAAATGTCTTCTTTTAGGTTTTAGGAGCAACAAATGATGACAGAATTTTCTTTTGGGGGGGTATCCAGAGTTCTCAGAGTGGAATAGCACAGGGTACAGGCACCCTCACCCCCAGAGCGCACACATCTACACATTACAATAACTTTAGCTAGAGTAGTGGCCAAAAGTGATGTCCAGCCTAGGAAAATGGTCATCTTCGCCCTTTATTCAAACATTTTATTAAGGATTTTGTAAGCATATAGTTGTGTAAAACTAATGTATAAGCTCAATTGTTCCATTTGTAATAATGCACAAATGAAATTTGAAACAACAAATTGTGTCATACCATTTTTTTACGCATACCTCATGCAAAACTTATTGGGTATTGTGTGTTTTCTTCTTCACAATATATTTTGATCTTGTAGGGTCATTAAAAGCAAATACTGAGAAATATCCTCTCCGGACATCTCTTTTGGCCACTACTGTATAATTTTTTTTTTTGAGAAATTGAGTTTTCTCTTGCTAACTAACAAGTTGGACACTGAATGTCTTTCTTGAAGTAAATGTAATGTTTCACGTGACATTATTTACAAGCTGCTTTATTGATGTCTTCTCGCAATTGAAACATGATACAGTATAAGTTGTACTGTTTCTTTACACATACCTTCTGATGTTCATTTATGTTTTTTTTTGGTGCTATAACTAGAAGTACAGCGTCTTTACATACAAATTGATTTCCTACACGCTCTCTATCACTGACACTGAGGCCAGATCCTGCCTTCTCCGTTAATCGATAGGGAATTGTGATTGGATGGTTATTTTGTTCTACAAAATTTACTCTGACATTATTGGCTACCTTTGATTAGGCTTTTCTCGCATGACAGGAGATTACTACTCGCTCTATAGATGAAATATGGGACAAAACATGATTTTTTCATAACAAGTTGGGTCACTAAAAATAGTGCTGAAATACGGGACTGTTCCGGAAAAAACGGGATGTCTGGTCACCCTATTTTTGGGTGGAGTATCCCTTTAAGAGGATATCCTATCATCCCCATTAATTTAGTTTCCATTCATTGAGCACTGTAAAAAAACAAAACAAAAAACTGTAAAGTCATCAGAGCTATTTCAGTGATTTCTCCTTTTTTAGTTAGTTTCAATAGAGCTCAGTTAGACGGTAAATAAAACATTGGGCCAAATATATTTCATGGTTTTCTTGTGTTGTAATTGTTCGGGTTGAGGACAAAAGCCAGCAGGGTAAGCTGACCCCAATAAAGTCCCAATCCCTTGCCTTGGAGATCCTTGAGTGGTGAAGGGGCCAAGGGGGTTATTGTGGAAAGTTACTCTTTGTTTGGGTGCAGGCATAAGATTAAAGAGAAAGGAGCCCACAGAGTAGGATTGAGATCCTTTTATCCTATATAACAGATTCTGATGTGTTTTCAGACTCGAAGAAGTTACTGAAGATCTCTATTACTATTGCTGATACTTGGGGTTAGAGGTTTTAGATATTAAAAGTTGGTGCGTCACTTGTCCTGCGTCCTTTGTGCTAAGGACATGATGAATGATTTCTCAAATAATGTGTATTATTTAGATAATATCATAGACATTTGGAAGTGGCAGAGCCACTAGCAATACCTTGGCAACCCCCTACAACATCCTGTCATCATGGCAGTGAGTGAGTTTTTGCACAGGCAAGCACAACTTACATTTTCTTAAGAAAATCTAAATCTAGTTATTAGTTACTTAGTTAAGTTAGTGTTACTATAGAAGGCATGCCAAATCCCAATTAAGTTTTTGAAAGTGCCGGCACAGCAAAAGCAAACTTCAAATGTGCAGTTTTGATGCTTGTTATGCTTTTACATCATTTCATACAGGCCTTTGTTTATCAGTCCTTTTTCTGATTATGTGGCATGAGCCAGAAATAACTTTAATCATCATAACCCTGAGAAGTCCTCCGCTCAATAACAGTTATTTAGAGGCTCTGGAACAATACGGATTGTAATCACATTTCTTTCCAGCAATTATCAAAGTGTATTTGAAGCCCTCAGTCAACCATGAATGGCCCTTCTGTTGTGTCGTTTTCCCCTCGCCCTCCTGCGTCCCATCCTTCCTGTCTGTGATCATTCAGAAGTAAAATGCCGCTGGAGGGAACATCCCTGGATCGGCTGTCAGTTTAACCCAGACTAAGCTTTGTTCTTGATGGCAGTGCCCTGCGGGATGCTGTTTACTTACTGAGATGAGTTTTCAGAGCAGATTACACATACAGCTTGCTTGCATTGTGTTTAATGATAAATGATGGGAAAGAGGCAGATTAGACGATTTAGGAAAATTAGATCAACTTCTGAGTCTGGAAAATTTCCTGACATTGCATTGCAAACATGTGAATCATTCTCTGATAGCGATTCCTTCGCATAATTCTTCAGAAATGCAGGTGTGTTTGGGAGGAAAGAAAGGGTGTGTTTCTTTGGAACAATCTTCAATAGTTTTCTTTAATTATGTTCATAATAAGTACATTGGCCCTCATTTATCAAAAGTGCGTACACCAAATTTCCAGCGTACACCTGGCGTACACCCAAAACCACGGTGACTTTGAGATTTATCAATATGGACGTTGGCGTATGGCACGCTCAAATCCTACGCCAGCTCAGGAGGTGGTGTACGCACGTTTTGAGTTAGTGCGGAAATGCGCAGAAAAACAATTCCTAACACCACAAAACGCACTGACAAACTAACTGATCAACTGCTCAAACTGACATAACTAAAAGATATGATATATTGATATATGACCAACAACAACAACAACAGTAATTATAAACTTCAGTGTTTATTTTTGTGCAACATGGACTTCAATGTTTAATTTGTGTGACTTTACCAAAGCATTTGATTTATAAGCATATGTATTCCTTCAGTTGCGAGCCTGTGCGCTTTACCCTGACGTTTCATGGTTAGGCCCGGCAGGTGCGCACGGACTGGGTTCGGTAACGAAAGGCTTTCAATGACCAAAAAATAATTCAGACTGACAAAATAATAAAAAAAACATTCTTCTTCTTTTAAATAATAATAATAATACAAATAATAATAATGACATTCTTCTTCTAAATAACAATAAGCGTCATTAATAATACAAAGCATACTAATAATACTAAGAATAATATTACAAATTGTCATGCAATTATTAATGTGAATGAATGGTACTCCACATCACATCATCATCATCATCACTATTGTACACCCCATACATGTAACGTGATTCGAAATTGAATGCTAATTCAAAAGACGTGCTGTAAAATATTGCATTGTGATAGGTCATTTCGGGCTCCACGTCAGAGAAGTTTCTCTTCTTTGCCGTCTTCCGTGTGTCCATGGCGTAAAATGAGGGCGTGGGGGAAGCGGAGACTTGAATATATAGGGGCGTGTTATTCTAATGACGATCGTTTTCAGCCGCGGGATTTATCAAGGGCAGGTATTGCGTACACCTGGATTTCAAAGGTACGCACAGCTTCATAAATCAGGCGGTGAGAGGAGTGTAAGCATAATCTTACGCCAACATATACGCCCGTTTCTACGCAAGAATGATAAATGAGGGCCATTGTGTGCTTGCTATTGGTGTTTTAGTTCTGTGTTTTTGCGGTAAGGGAACTATGCTGTTCATTCAGGGCTTTATTTCAGGTTGCTAGGTTATTTTCAAATGGACGATGGAAAGATGGAAGTGGCCTAC